AGGGAGGAGACCCTGATTTTCAAGACCCGCTCCCGCGACGTGCAATACCTAACCCGCCCCCCGCACATATTGCCAGTTACTTCCCCGACCCGTCGGCACAAGATCCGCAACCCGACCCCGTATATATACGAGCAGTAAAAACGTGCAATTATTAACACACGCAGTTGCATATTTGTCTCAAAAAGCGTGGGATGTTGGTTCTTTTCTCCATCTAGGATGATACCAAAAGCCTCCCAGACGTTGGATTTCGCTCTTGAGGAAGTGTTATTGAAAATGCTGTAGCCTATTCTCCGCTAGAGAGCTTCACCTCAGCCATTTCAAATGTGGCGTGCTCAGCAGCAGATTGATGCGCTGCAGAGGTTATGATTATGCGCGGTCCCGAGGGGGAGAGGTCTGAGGATTTAAACATTAAACTAAATCATTATTATTTTAATATATTTATTATGCAACACCCGCGACCCGACCCGCATCATCTTTGTTTTACCCAGAACCGAACCCGGAAAAAAACTTTTGAGAAAATACCACCCGCGAATCGGGTACCCTACCCGATGCATGACTCTGACGTGAGCCCAGAGATCAAAGATTTCCATGGAGATGTGCTGTGAAAGGAGAGCCTTTTCATTGTTCTGAATGAGAAATAAACCTCTTACATTTCTAACTATAGTTTAAAAACGTTAGCTACTTTCAGTAAAATGTCAACGCGTGAAGCATGTCAAGGACCCTGAGCTTCTGAAGTGTGTTTTTTTTGTACTTTCGGGTCAATAATGTGGCATCTTTGGCAGATTTACTAAAGGTGTGCAGCTGGTGCTGTGAGGAAAGATCACACTGAATTTACAATGGGCCTTAATGGAGACATGTTGAACGTTTTTTTGTCACTTCATGCCCTCAAGAGGCATTTTGTTTAATTTTTCAACGTAGGAGAGGTTTTCCTACATTTTTCAAGAAAAATTATGTCCAAGGAGTGTAGGGTTTGGGAGTTATGGCAGGTTTAAAACGTTTTTTTCAAGCTCTCCTCCACTCTGTTTTGAAATCAAAGCACTCTAGACTTAACGAGCTGCACAATGAACACTAATGTTAAAATCTGAAGAAGGACTCTTTACCAAGCTCCAAACTAAGTTAAATATTTCAAAAAATGTAAATGTCATAAACAAGAAAAGTCATAGCACACATGTCTTGAAGGAGCTGAACATTCTAATATTTGAATGGTTTCTGTAGCTGAAAGTATAAGAGGATTTTGAAAGTTCCTCCCATTGAGTTACATGTTAAAAGACTTTAAAAAGCTGAATATTTCAAAAAGTATAACATATTTTGAAAAAGTTGAAAGTTTCCCATCATGTGCTGAAAAGGCTGAATATTTTTGATATTTGAATGGTTTCTGTAGCTGAAAGTAGGCTGAAGTTATTCAACTGCAAAATATTGGTGGAAATAATAATAATAATAATAATAATAAGATGATTAAAGAAACAGAAGAACTGTAGTGGAATGCTGTTGCACAGCTTTCGCACTAATGACGGTCTGATGTCTAACATCAGTCTTTCAATAAGTCTTAAAAAGGCTTTGGACTTAGGAAGGAGGATTTTATGAAACTTTCTTTAGTAATATTGTAATATAAAATCTCAAAAATAATTGATAACATGTATTTTCTGAAAATAATTAATCAAATGCGCCTTCCTCTAACGCCACGCAGATCTGCATAGCGGGAAAACAGCTTGTGGAATTGTTCATTGTTCACTGTGGCATCAAAAGTATTTTAAAAGAGGCCCTTCTGCTTTTTGGGGTTTTCCCTCCTGTGGTGTGTTCTATAGGTTTTTGTGCATGTAAATGGTCTGTAACGGCTAAAGACCTTGTGTTCCCTTCTCTCCCACACTCTTCCCCCAACCTAGGAATGATGAATAAATGAACAGATAAATCAGTGCAAATTATACATATATAATACTATAACGCATGAAAATGTAACAGTAAGTCTGTTTTTAAAGTATCTTTATTAAATGAGGATAGTAACATGCAAACATAATGAACGTTATGAAAACCAACCATGAACTGCATAAAGAGTGAGGAAAGAAGCAACACTAATAAGAACTAAAACGTAACAATTGCACTCCTATAATGTCCATGTCCACTCCACTTGAGTGTCGATTGTAAAGCGTCATGATGATGATGCCGCTGTGTGTTTCAGATGAGAGCGGCCTCCTGGTGCACTGCATATCAGGCTGGGACCGGACCCCTCTGTTTGTGTCCCTGCTCAGGCTCTCCCTGTGGGCAGTAAGTCCTCCTTCTGTCTTTTCATCTCTTCCTTCCCCCCGGTGTCACCCAGCAGCTCCAACAGTCAGTGACAGAATCCCCCCCTCCTCATTCACTCCTTCTTCACATACAACTAGTTTACCATTTCAAACATGCGCTTTAATTAGCCTCCTCTGTATTCATCTTTATTAAAAATAGAACCCTTATGTCATAAATATTCAATGCCTTTCTGGAGACGGGTCCGTACTTGGATCTTCTGATGAAACCGCAGACCACATACGTCCTTTTCACACAGAATAATAACTGCATATTGCTTGTCGGAGCTGCATGTGCATGATTGGCTCCTGGGGTTTGATTTTAAGATGTTTGAGACTTTGGCTCTCGTCATGTTATTTCCACAGGACGGCGCGGTGCACGCCAGCCTGCAGCCGGCAGAGATCCTGTATCTGACCATCGCTTACGACTGGTTCCTCTTCGGGTAAAATAATCATTTACAATAACACTATCATCATTTCATGAGTTCACGGTGAGCCATAAGTCGGCACATTAGCCGCTATAAATACTTTAGAGGTGCATTTGCAACTATCTGTGACGTCCGTTTATTTTCTGTAACGCATCATTGAAAAGAGGTTAATGGAGCAGTGAGAGAGGGAGGGGGGGACAACATGAGACATTAAGACGACTCTGGCTTAGCTGTTACCACATCTTTTATCTTCACACACACACACACACACACACACACACACACACACACACACACACACACACACACACACACACACACACACACACACACACACACACACACACACACACACACCCTCTCTTGGGCTTCTCCTTTCACAATTGATGGTGTGATATGACCAATTAGAGCTCATCTGAGGCAGTCTTGTAGAAAGCCATCTCGACAATGCAGTGATGCATCCGAGGCTGGCCCCTGGAGACATTGGTACAGCAGAAGGTGTGTAAGAGAGTTGAAGTGAGCGCTCTTCTCCTCATCAGTCACAACTTAATCATATTTGAAAGCCAGGTGTAGTCCAATACTTTTGTTGGCCATAAATACGTTCTGTGGCACCGAATATCTGTAATCACTATCAAAAACACTCTCAAGAGAGTCTAACAGATTCTGCGTGGGCACTTTCTGAACAATTCATTTGATTAGCAGTGTCACGAAGAAAAAAAACAAGATTTGTAAACAAGTCCAAAATATAGGGAAAAGTCACTTCAATAAAAACCAACTGAGTTGTGGTAGTCAGGACAGCAAAGAGAGATGGCTTCCTTCCACTCAGTTCCTTTAAATGAGGGCAGTGCCTCGCCAAAAGGAGAAAAGAGGAGAGGAGACAGAACACAAGGAAGAGGAAGCGCGTACCAAGTAGTCTTATGATCAAGAGGAACAAATACATCTTGTTTCTTTCAGTCCCTTAAGCACACCCAGTGATCTCCTTGACCAATGCCTTGAGTGGCTGAAACAAGGGGTTAGTTCTCAATGCATTTTTTAAAATTTCTTTCAGAGAGTTTTGATTTACATGCTGACGTTTAAAGATACCAACTTCTGAGACCTGCTTTGCCGCCACAATATTCTACCAATACTCTGAAAAATTATATTAGAAAAAGTGTTGCATTTAACAAGGGCACGTCACTCTGTACCACAGAGGAGTCAAACTTACTGGAACTATTCCTTACTATACCCTACCCAACCCTAACCCTCTACTATTACAGGTTTCATTTCAAAGATTCATTCATGTTTAAACGTTATGCATGCATCTTCACAACATGGGGTGGTGTTTTTCACCTGGATAAGATGCAGCTGGAATATAACACAGAACATTTTCCTCTCTCTATTTTCAGTCATATGCTGCCAGATCGACTCTCCAAAGGGGAGGAGGTACGTTTATCCGAATAATGTTTATAAAGCTTATATTTACAGAAAGAATACTGACAGAAATATTAGTACCACAACTTTCAAAAGTATTCTTTGCATGTTAACAAACATTTGTCATCAGTCAGTTTTTGAAGACAGGAAGTTATGATAGAGATATTATGACATTAGCATATGATAGCACAAATGAAATGGATAGGCAAAAACAATGTGATCCCTTGGTTTGAAATTCCGAATAAGTGTCTCGGAACAGTGTTCATATAGAGTTCATTTTTTCTTGTCAAACACTGTAATTGGCGGTTAAAGGAAACCCAGTTAAGCCATGAGCTAACTCTACAGGAAGTTACAGCTTTAAGGATGAAGTTTTGTCATCTCTTCAGAGGGCAGCCAGAATAAGGGTTGCCTCTTGAAAGAAAGGCTGGAGGCAGTAGATGCTAAACATGCTCTCATAGCAGAGCTGTTTTTCCTTTGTATTTTCACTAAGAGTCACATTTCACAATTATTGTGGCTGATACAATAGTTTCCATTGTATATGACCTGCACAAACCGCTTCAGAAGAAAAGAAGGAATGACTGTGAACTACTGTTATTGTTTCTGTGGTTTTACTATTTATAGCTATGTGTTTGATTTAAATTAGCATTTGTTTTTGTTTTTTTAAATACTGAAAACATTCTAAATACATTTTAGATGCAAATTTTCTCATTAAAATAATTCAGTCAACAACATTTTCTGCAGAGCTCAACAGACCAATGATTGGCTGACTTATCTCATGGCCTGGCATACATGTCAGTCTATAAGTAACAAGATATTTCACTACAGAAGTCTAACACATGACACCGTTCACAGTTCGCCCACCACAGAGCCCTAGCTGATTTATTTTACACGTTAGATGTCCTGTTGTAAAATGTGTGTTTGCAATTCTGCAAAAAAAAACAAATATAGGAGATCCATAACACAACCATATAGTGATGTGTTTATGTCAAATAAAAAAATCTATATATCATATTCTTCAGTACTATCCCCTAATGTTGGTCTAAAGAGTCTAGTATTAGTCAGACTAAATGTACAGGAACACCAGAGGTTATTCAACAACAATTAACGTAACAAACAATAGCATTATATTTATGTGCAATTATTGTAAGAGAAAAGACAGGGTTTCTTTTTTAATAGTCATTTTATATCAATAGCCCATAATCACTGAGGGAGAAATCTATCAGTGGAAGAAATGTCAACATCTTAACCAAGAGTCATCTCCGTAGAACAATGACTGAAACTAGTAATCTTGTTGGTATAGGTACAAGTATCACGCTTTTGCTAATTGTGGGAACTTCTATCTTAAGGGATTCACTTCTGTTTCCCTTCTGATCCAACATGTTTTTTCTCCCTCAGATTTTCTTCTTTTGCTTCAATTTTTTGAAGCACATTGTCTCCGAGAAGTTCTCAACTGTTAAGAAACAGAGGTGGGTTCATTACTCTTCATGTGTGTGAGGTTCATTCCAATGAAGCTATAGTTATCTTTTGTGAAACTCAGTGAAGATCCAGTTTCTGTACACACACATCATCTGTTGGATTCCACTCTAGTGTTATATCTCTACTTCTGATCTCTAAAATTATTTGATCCTTTTTTCTGACAGAAGGAAGAACTCTCACTTCAAAGACAGTGATTTCACTGTGGAAGATCTCGGCCAGTTAAGTAAGTCAATGTGTCTCTGCCATTCCTCTCAGCCGCCATTCAACAAATGATATTGTATTTTAATTTTTTTTAAATGGAGTAGTGTGTCTTCCTTTGTTTGGTCAACTAGGTGCTCAGGTAGCAGTATAACGGAGAGCTTTCCTTTCCAGCTCCATACATTTGTCCTTATAAGTTACAAACGGGAGGAAAACTATTAAATTCGTCATTATGTTTTATCTCCAATCCGAATTATAGCATCTCATAATGTTTTGTTGAGAAATTTGAGGCAGCATTAGGAGCTCCCGCCACCTTCCTCCTGTCTGATGCAATGAGGAATAACAGAGGGCTGCGAGCAGAGCGTGTCGGCCGGAGACAAAGCAATGAGTCTCTAGGGATAACACAGCCTTCGTCTATTTAAAAACCACAGGCTTAATTCCAAAACGTCTTGCTTCACAAACCTTTATTTCCTAAGACTTTTAACCTGCAAAGGAGTCTTGTATTTGCATCAGTATCCAGCTTTATGTCACAACAAGAAGTGGCTTTAGATTTCTGTTGTAAACCACTTCTGGTGGAACTGGTTCCTCTCTGTTCTGCATTTCATTCAGCATTTCTGACCTTATTTAGAAAGACAAACTAGACTCCACTACAGTAGTTCCTGTTAAAAAAAGCATTGATTTATATATACAGAATCAACTATAGACCCTATGAAATATCTAGAAGTGTTGCATCGTGGGTAGTCAAGTCATCTTAACTTGGTTCATGTTTTTTTTTCTAGATAAAGTATAGAATTGACGGTCTCTCCAAAGTCCTTATTTATTTAAAGGTCCCATGTCCGGCTTTTCCGGTTATTACCCGTCCCCCTGTGTGTTATGAAGGTTTCTCTGCATGTAAACGGTCTGCAGAGTCACAAACCCTCAAAGTACACCCTGTAGCGAGTAAAACTCTAACACAGAAAATACCTGTCTATGCTGCCCAGAACACCTCGTTGGAGATTTCTCTTTTTCCATTGTTTTCTTCCTGAGTATAGTGACGTGCCCATACCCAAATGGACCCATTGGGGGTGCTAGTGGAGCCTTGCAGCAGCGAAACTGTGGCTCCTGATCCTTCTCTGCGCCCCCAGCCTGGCTGCTCTCGAATCGTGCAAAAAAACTGTTCAGCTCATCTGGGAGAGATGCCCATGCAGACAGTCCCGCAGCACCACCCGCTGCTCCTTTGTAATCTGTCATTGTTCTTAGTCCCGCCCACATGTTCCGGGTGTTACAACCTTTGAAGTCAGACTCCACTTTTTCTCTGTACTGTCTCTTTGAACTGCTGATAGCTCTCCGGAGTTCATACCTGGACTTCTTGTACTCCCCCAAATCTCCACCTCTGTGCGCGATAGTGCATGCTTTTAGCTTGCCGCGCACCTCGCCGTTTATCCAGGGCTTCTGATTCGGGAATGTCCGTACAGTAATCTTCTGTACTACGTCTGCTCTAAGACTGAAGTTATAACTATGCTTACAAAGTCTTTTGGATTTACGAAAGGGGTTTCTAACGTCTGTGACAGAACCTGAATGTTCTGCTTTCCCTTCAGCTCTTGTTCTGATTAAAATGTGCACGTGGTGATTTATGAATGAACTGACGCCCTGCTGTGCGTTTACTTCAGAGCCGAGGGACCGCGGCAGTGTGACCAGTCTAAGCAGTGACTTCTCCCTCATCACTGAGGAGGGGGGCGGAGCCTCCAGCCTCAACCCCGACCCCATGGACCTGTTCTCCAGCCAGCCCCAGGCCTCCAGCTGGTCAGTATAGGCTCACAAAATGTATTTTTTGTTTCGTTGGATCCAGGAGGATATCAAAAGTGCAGCCAAATGAGAGACACAAAAAGCCAAGGGATGATGGTCCAGCTGTCGCTGAGTTATTAAAGTGCATTAAAAGGACATAAGTGCATACATATAAAGAGTAAGAGCAGTAGGAGAAGAGATCTGTTAGTCCCCGACAGTCTAAGCCTAAAGCAGCTTAACTAGGAACTGGTCCAAGGCAAGCCTGAGCCAGCCCTAACTATAAGCTTTATCTGAGAGGAAGGTCGTCAGCCTGCTCTTAAATGTAAGCCCGTGTTAAGGCACTGTGGTTATTCAACTGCCAGTGAGGCGATGAAATGCAATCAAAGTCCAGTTTGAGCAACAGATCCGTGAGTTTTAAAGGGAAAACGGCACAGCAACTTCCAACTGGGGGAAGTTATCACAGTGCCAATCACTGGCCAAGTTCCAATGTCCATACTGAAGGACTCACAGTCTTTAACAAACTCTCTGCTACTCCAGGAATGTGCACTTTCCAACATAGTGTGTTGAATGACATCTTAGCTAAATCTGCCAGGTTCATTATTGTTTCCCTAGATGTAGTGGTCGCATTTGAGTGAAAAACAAGTTTGAACAATTTAACAGATATTTCCTTTCAGAACAGCCAAAATTAACTTTGATCTATTTAAAGCACTTTTTTATGATTTCTTCATTTGAGTTTTATCATTTGAAATGTCATCACTAGCTGCTGCTCCACTGTCATGCTAATGTATTGTTTCCCTCCCCAGGAGAAAAGGCCCCACCTCCTCCCCTCAGATGGTGGTTTGGAATAAACCCACCCCTCCTGACGAGCATCTCTCCCATCCTCTCAGTGAGGCCAGGTCTTCCAGCTCCTCCTCCTCCAACCAATCAGAACACGCCGTCACACGCACTGGCAGCAGCCCACTGGCTGTCCCTGGAAGAAGGTCAGTGAGTCTATACAACTCAGCCCTTTAAAGTGTGTGTGTTCAGCAATGTTGGTTGATCACCAGAGGCACAGTGTTCTACCTTGCTGCAGTTCAGCAAGCGTTCACACACAGGTGGAGGCAGGCTGTAGCCGAACCAGAGATATTATAACCTGTGTGGTTGGGACTAGTTTGTGGAGTTTTGGGGAGTTATTCACCCGTGTCCAAGTGCTCAACCAAAGCGTGTGTTTTTGTCAAGGTAACAACACTTGGTCCTCTAACAAAAAACAACTGAGCAAAAAAACCCCTCCAAATGAAACTGCTGCTGAGGCACCAGGAAGCAAATCATGCGCAGGGATCAAATCCAATGATGTTCAGTTTTGACAAAAACCTGACAGAAAACAATGGCTTTTACCTCCTCTCTTTCCCTGGTATAAAAATATCTGCCTTTCCTGTGTGCAATCACTCCTCCACCTGTCTCCATAAATATCAAACCTCCCTGTGCCCGGAAGTTGCCTTCAAAATGCAAGTCTGTGTCCTCCTGTCTTTAATTCTTTGACCTCGCTGTCTCTCAGGTTGGCCGCAGACTACCCTCGGTCCGGCTCCTCCCTCTCCACGGAGTACGGCAGTTGGCAGATCGTTTCTGGTTGTGGCAGCATCCATGACCACGCTCACTTCCCCCCCCCTCTGACCTCAGCCTCCTCCACCTCGTCTGCTGTGGCTGCTCCCTACGACTCCCCCCTGCCCTTCAGTTTTCAGGATGAAGGACCCAGTGGAAGAATGTAAGTAACACACACCTGTCCAGCTAGGCTTTCTTTTACAATGCTGTTAGAAAAGGTAGGTCAGTTTAACGCAGGGGTGGGCAAACTTTTTTGCTCGGGGGCCACTATGAGTTTTAAAATTTGACAGACCAGGCCAGTAGCAGATCGGTGAAAAGATATTTAGCTGTCCACTCCTCATTATACACTTTGCACTCAATGTTGACTTTTCTTTTCTTTGGTCCACTCATTGTTACAGATGCAGGTTCAGAGCTGAATTAGGTTCAAAGGTGAATTATTGCGTCATTGCGTCATCGTTTGCGTCATGACGTAACCGTTTACGTGCCTTCTTATGTCCCACACAGCGTTTTACGTCGCTGATTTTCTCCGCAACACCGCTCACAACAACATCAGTAGAGGACTGCGTCGGGTAGTTTTTAATTATACGAAGCCACATTAAATTAAATGACTACTTCTCCAACCTAATACCTTTCTCCAGAGTGCCGTGGTGCATTGTTTATTAATGTGGTTCAGCGGCATTACCGCCTGCTGCAGCGCTGCTCGTCTACCGGAGTTTATTCTCCCGTTAACTCACGGCAGCGGCCGCTCTAAAGTATTCACTGTCTGACTGTCACAGAAGCAGCTGATACATATCCCCAATTCCCCATATGTGAATGTGTGTAAGTCTGAATTGATGCTGTTTGGCATCACAACGCTGTCATGAAAGTTTCTCTGGCATTCTACAGGTGATGTTAGCATAGCAACCGAAGCTAATCAGACTATCTTGACTACTTGTTGCTATCATATTGTGGCATAAGCCGTTTTCTACCCGCATATTTTACCGGCGTAGTTTTCGTTATGATTTTACTTGTGATGGTCACATGTAGCCCATGTATTGATTCCATCCGATAGCTTCAATAATACAAAACAACAGGAAAACGTCTGCCTCTTCACAATGGTCAATAACAGTGAACGGATGGTCATTAAAGTAAGGTAAAATAAACAGAATCACACTAAGCCTGGTTAGTGTTGCCTGACTTTATATAGGCTAAGTGTTTTTATAAGTGTGTGGTCGCGTTCTAGTCACTTTGCTCAGCGCTACTGCTTGTATTCGCCGTACTCTCCATGAACTGTTATTGCTCAGGTTAATCTCGACCTCCTCCAACGTAAGTGTGAAGTATTTGATCTTGCAGGGTTGCTGAGTGGGGCCAGGGAATAGACTCCAGCAAAGGTCAATTGTGTCTAGAGTGCGCCATCTAGTGGGATCAACTGAAATGCCGGGTATTGCAGGAAAAAGGCTAAATGAATGCGGTCTTTACTCTAATTTGGACAATTTTAGTACCGATATTCGGCGGGCCGGATTAAAAAGCCCGACGGGCCGTATATGGCCCGCGGGCCTTAGTTTGCCCATGCCTGGTTTATCGGATGTTAAGCCATCCATTTATATTGAAAGGAAGCACTTGTCATTTTTAGTAGCAAGTTATGGTGTGTTTCTTTTGTTTAGATAACTGGAAAATAAGCCATCAGGTTGCATGTAGGTGCACATTGGTTTCCTCCTCAGTCTGACCCTGTGTACAGTAGGGCTGTACCCGAATATTCGTTCGTTGGAGTACTATTCAGGTTTCAATTTCGTTATTCGTTTTTTTTGGCAAATTTATTGAAATCTCCAATATCAACGTAAGAGCTCGTGCCTCTTCGGGGGGTGCTAACACTTAACCATAAACTTTATGGTTTACTTTCTCCGTCTTTATATGTAGATATTACTTTTCTCCGTTAATCTCCGTCACATTGTTTCCATAGCAACAACAACTTCCTGTCAACAGCGCTAACTCTCCTTCAAAAATAAAAGCATGTCAATACAAAATAGGAAGCCAAGCCAAATTACACTTAAGACGTACACAACTGCAATGAAAGTAACAAACACAACACAATATCCTTTTCAATTTCAAAGAACACAAATTGGGTTGTATACATTAACAAATAACTATAAAACAACAATACTGTAGAATAACAAAATGAATGCCGTGAATAAACTGAAATACACTTGTTGAAGCGGTTCGCTCTATGCAAAGAAGAATATAATCAGTGATCGAATACTGTTGACTGAAACAACTGAAATGAAAAATTATAACAAGTAGAGTGCCGGCAGACTGATAAACAATCTTTGTTGGACATCCATTCCACAGACTTTATGAAATATCTTTATTTGGTCAAGTCCACCCTATATCATTTTAAATGTATACTTTTAATGATGATGAGATCATTACCCCCAATCTTGTGAATTTCTCTAAATCCTGCAGGCCTGATGATGATGAAGATGATAATGATGACAATGATGATCATAATGATGATAATAATGAAAAGTGAGCTGTGTGATGATTCATGATAAGTAAATGATGGGTTTAATCCATCCTGCTTGCGCCTGCATCATTCTGTTGAATCAATATTCATATAGCCAAATATCTTAGATTACACGTGTCTCTGGGGGCTTTACAGTGAGAACAGCCGACAACACGGTCCCTACACACGCACTAACAAGTAGAGAATCCTAACCCCACAATTAAGAGGGGGTGATGGGGAGATTGACAGAGGAGGATCCCTCCCCAGGAATTCTTCTTCTCTTCGGAATTCTTTGTGGACTTCCTCTTGTTTGTTATTATTGAATATAGTACTTTTAGAACTTTTTGGGGATTTCGAATGGAAACTGTCACACATGTGCACACAGTGAAATGTAGTCTCTGCAGGTTACCCATACAAGTATTGGTAGCAGTGGGCAGTCTAGATATATACTTTATTCGTCCCAAGTTCGGACATTGTTTTCTCACGGCAGTGCCTTGGTCTGTTCACGGCCTTGAACCTATGACCTTAAGGATCCCAATCCAAGTCACTACAGCCTGAGCTACTGCTGCAGAGTTTCTCTCCCTAACCCTTTCCTGCCTGTCTCACCTCTCTCCCCTTTATTTCTCCCAGGTGTCCCATCCCCTCGGAGCGTCAGGCCCGTCTGGAGGCGGTGCGGGAGGTCTTCCTGGCAGCCTACAGCTCCACCGTGGGCCTCAAGTCCTCGGCCCCCAGCCCCTCCACAGCCATCACCGGCCTGCTGGAGCAGTTTGCCCGGGGGGTGGGCCTCCGGGGCACCAACGCCATCGTCTGAACCCTCTCAATGTGACCACCCCGCTTCCATCCACCCAGCCAGAGCCCGTGCAACACGCCTGGACTCCGTACAATAAAGTGCCAAACATCTCTGCTCATCAGGGGAAGCACTCATCTTCCTCCTCCTTTTGATTTCCAGCTTTTCTCTGGACTTGAATCTTCCATGTTCACTCGCTTTCAGGGAGGGAAATATTTCAGCCACAGTATCAAAAAGGGATATTGGGAAGGCTCTGTAGCTGCTGAAATGTGAATGTGTGAGAACAGGGTGTGTGTGTGTCTGTGACAGGCAGGACACACACACGTCTTACTTCCTCTGTTCCGTTCATACATGTTTTTTATGCTTCAGGGTCCCTGCAGCGACCGTCCCATGTACAGGCAGCGATATGTGTTCTCTTGTTTCGTGCTGCTATTCATTTCTGATGCAAGCAGAGAATGTTGTTTTTTCCAGGTGCGTTTTAAAGATAAGATAAATACAGCACTTAGTGTTCAGACAGAAATGTGTTTCTGTTTCTTATTTGGCCCAGGAGAGGATCTAAATATCTAATCTATTTACAGCCTAGTGTCTAGATTTAAAGGTAAATATTACAGTCTGTTTTAATGCAAAACTCACCAGCCATATGAACGCTGAAAGATTTACTGTAATAATTCCATCTGTCCTTCCTGGCAGTGAAGGGTTGGTGCGAGTTGGGGAACTAAATCTCCCTACGCTGTTCGATGATCCCACAAGCACTTTTTTTTAAAAACGTTCTGAAACTTTGAGCCTCATTGTGCTTCAACTGAAGTACTCGAAGCAGTTTGTACCACGTCTAGGGCTGTTACCAATGGTCCGACCTGGAGGCAGCCTCTGGACAGACGGGATGATAACAGAGGCTCTTCAGCGTGCGTGCTGCACGGGAGGAAGACAGTCTTATTAAAATAGGCTCTGATCCTTTTAAGTAGATGAGATAAAAAGAGAAGATCGTAACCCAAGAAATTAAGTTGATCCAAGCTACCGTATCTCCTCGCAACTGTCTCCATATCCTCCTAAAGTCCATATTCATCACTTGTTCTTCTTCAGTAGCACTGACATGGTAGCACAAGAGGCACTGAGCATCGTGGTAGCAGATGTGTGAACCCAAGGCCTTTCAGAGCTCTTTCTCAACAGACTCAGCACAGACCCCTGCCCAGTTGATATATCACAGAGGTTCTTCCAAAACATGTGCGTCCTCTTCAAGGTCGCACTGGGAAGGACATTTCTACCTTTTGGTTAGATGTACACTTTTAAGTAATTTTCTTAAGAGAAATCTGTTGAGTTTTCATTTGAGACGAGCTTGTTGGTTCCGCTGCTGAACCTCAGGACCTTTTTGTTGTGCCTTTTTATCTTCAGTAACACTGGATCACACCTCCACTGCTGCTCCAGCTTCGGGTCCTTTTCTCTTTTTAAATGGCTTTAAGAGCTTGGGGAGTTGACTGCATTAGCATTAGCAGCGTTAGCTTTTCATAAAGCTTTTGGGGTGTCCCGTTGATTGCTCATTCTGTCGTTTTGTTTTCAAGTAACAAATCTGTCGTCTCTGATGGACACCCCCGAGGTGGTTGGGATGGGATTTCGGTCAGTCAGCCCAGGAATAGTAAGATTTTCACCTCTGCCTTTGAAAACGACTGTAAGAGAAGCGGATTTTATTGATTTTAGGAATAATTGTAGTAGGAATTATGGGAAACACCTTTATTCACTTTATTTTTATCGGTGATGTGAGATGATTGACCCCAATGTCGGTGTTTTAAATACAGTGCTAAAGCAGGGATGGATATGGTCTATATTAGCCTAAAGATTAGCTTTAAAGTCAAACAAAATGTGATAACAACATCCATAAACCTCGATTCCCATCTACTATGTAGTCTGTTAAAACGGAGCATGGGTAAACAAATCAGTCGGTTTACGGCTTGGGTTCGAGATATTTTTCAGATTAGAGGTGCTCTGCCAGAGGTGATGTTTTCAGTTTGGTTTGTCTGTGATCGGGGTACAGAACTACTACCTAAAAGACTTGGTAGGAAGTGTAGCTTGAACCAAAGAGCAAACCATTATTGATCCAACTCAAAGGTTGGAATCAAATATTGTCGTACTTTGTGAGATAGGCCAGGTCATTCGCCCTTCCAGTTCCCTTTTTCTAGTCTTATGCTAAGCTAGGCTAATCACTTCCTGTCTCTGAGGTCTGTACTTAACACACAGACATGAAAGTGGAATCGATGTTCACATCTCAATCTCATCATTTTCAAATGTCCTTTCAACATGTGGTGTTCTGATTCTGAACTACATTCTGCTGAGCTGATCTGAAGCAAGACATGTGTATTTCTGTATTCTTGGCATTAAGTGATTTGAGAGCATTTGGTTTGTATGGCCACATTTATGAGTTTCTGCATGGGCTGTCTAAGTGTTTATTTTGTACAGCTTTACTTGAGACTTTCAGGCGCGGTCTCCTCCCCGGTCTGGTTTTAAGCTTTCTTTTTAAGATATCCTTCCTGTAAAGGAGTTTTGATTCAGTTGAGGTTTCATATCGGTTGTTTTTATTCTGCCATCCTTTCTACTGTCTGTCTGCATCACAGTAACATAGTCATTTTCAACATGTTGAACAGTTCTTATACTTTGTTACTTCAGATACTCTTTTCACTTACTGGTTTTGCATGACATCCTCCGAGTGTATCTCAACTGCGGAATATAATGTTTTTTATTTGTTTGACAAATGACTTATTTTTTATTTGATTTCAGAATCTCTTTAAAACGCTGCATTGCACTCGTCCTGATGTTCTCTCTGTAGAGTTATCTCTGTACAGTTGATGCATTTTTAAATAACTCTTCCTTTTTGTTTTTGTTATACATTTCTCTTAACTGTCGGCCGGCGACAGGCTACAATAAAAGGTGAACTGAGCAGCAGGTGGCAATTGTGAATAAACACCAAAAAAATGAATATCTTTGTAACTTGTTTGTGTAATTAGCTTCAGCTCATTGTTTTTTTTAAATGTATTTATTTAGTACAGGCCAGAGGACACAAAAAAGGACAAAAAGTAAAATACAATAACAAATGAACAGTATTAACATTCACTCAAAATAACAAAAGGAACAAAACAAATAATTATAAGGAAAGGAAGGAAGACAAAATAAACAGTCAGTAGGATGACTTCAACACTTCAGATAACCAGGTACAATACATGCAACAACCAGAAACACACACGCAACATGTCGAGCATATTTATTATTCCATATAATCCCACTCAGTTAGAGCTGAGTGTTTTCCATTTCATCTTGTGTTGTACCACTTTTAGATTTTTTGTGGCAATAATTAAGTTAAATAAATGTTCTTTGCCATCTATTTTTTTAACGCCTTACATTTTGATAATTCCATGATTGAGTTTACATTAGTATTTTTTTGTGACTTAATTATTTCTTTCTTGTTGAAATAGATTTGCTTTATCAGATAACCTCAGTAGCTTCCAATATATTCATCTATATATATCTATATATATATAACTATGTTAAGGAAGAATATGGCAATGGGAGAAAGAAGAAGAGGTTTTGAGGTCAGCCCACACTGAAGCTGTCCTCTTGTCCCGCTGCCTCAGAGGTGTAAACACTGGAGTGGTTCATTCATTATTTATTTATAAAAGATGTATCATGTAGATGGCACTAAATTGTTCTTGCTGATTTCAGATGTGCAAACACTGTTAGGATGGAATGGCCCTGGAGATGTGTGAGAGCTGATCAGTGTGGGGGGAGCAGTTCCTCCTCGTTCACTTCACTCTTTTCCCTCTCCTATTCTTTGCAGTTTCTACTTTTCTGCATCTTCATATTACTTAAATGTTTAAAATTGTAAAAACCTTTACAATGATGAACTATGCATGATCTGTACTTCGCTAAGTATTTGGTAAGTGTATTATGATTCTTGTACTTTTGTATTTGTCATTCAGTAAAACATGAATGCAGGACTTACTTTGCTTAGTATTGCTACATTGTAGTATTAGTACTAAGAGTGGAGTATTCTCCCACCTTTGTGTTTTGTGGAGCTGACAGTGTAATGGGAGGATGTGATAGAGATGTCCATGCAGAGGAAGAAGCTCGCCCAGAGAGCAAAGGTCAGCCTGTAGGCCTTCTATTTCAGATGGCTTTACTAGTTCAGGCTGACATGCTACTGTCAGGCTGAAGAAATCCTGTTTATTTTCATCCAGGTCATTTGTTTTTCTGGAAGCATTTTGATGATTGATTTTCAAACTGAATTAAGTTCTGTAAAATGACAGTGTGTTATGAATGTCACAAGGCTCAGGACCCAAACGCACGACACCAGAAACAGGTCAGGACTAACAAAGTATTTCATAAAAGGCAAAAACACAAAACGCTCAATAGTAGGATCAAAACTGAGAAACTATAAGATCAAAAACGCTAAACAAAACATCTACTTGGATTATCAAAAAAGGTAACACAAAGACTCTATCAAAAATATACTTAGCAAGGTCAAGGAATGACTGGCAGACTTGGTGAGACCAGACGAACTGGCACAGGACAAGGGGAGACGCAGGCTATATATACACACTAGGTAAGGGGACACAGGTGGCAACAATTTAGGGAGGGGCTGACAATCACTGGAGGGAAAACACAAGGGCAGGAAGGGCTCTGAAACGAGAGGGAAAGGTTACTACAAAATAAAACAGGAAGTCACAAGGCAAAAGACAAAGGATTGAACTAAATGAATTAACTTAACATAAATGTCTAGACACCACACAGTACACTTTTATTTTTAAATAAAGGCAAAATTCAAACCATGATGAGCATTCATATGATTGGCTGTAATTGAAACCTAGCGAAAAAACACTATAGTATTACTATTAAGAATTACTATAGAAATACCACAAAAAACTGCTATAGTATTTCTATGGTGTTTTGGGACACACTATAGAAAATTACTTTAGTAATACTATAGAGTTGGATATGGTTATCTTATAGTGAAGTTACAGTTATACTATAGTGTTTCCTGTAGTATTTCTATGGTTTTTCGGCCACTATAGGAAATTACTATAGCTATACTATTGAGTTGTATGTAGTATCACTATAGTGCTTTCTATAGTATTTCTATGGTCTTTTGGAACACACTATAGACAATTACTATGGTGATCTTATAGTGAATCTATAGTTAATTAGCTTTAATAACGATGTATTCATCCCTAGAGTAAGTATGGTATCAACAAATAAAAGTTAGCAAGCAGAGCAGTTTCAATTTGAAAGATAGGGACTTTATTAACAAAATAAAATACATTGTTCACAGAATATGAATACGAATAATTTAAATGTAAAAAAATTACAAGAACAATTCCAGGCCCGAAACAGAAATGGTTGGGAAATGAAATTAAGGGAAAAAGTGTCCCAACCCCTATATACAGTATAAACACATTTCACATTCATATACTTACAATCCATGCCTCTCTACCAAGTCAGAGAAGCAAACTCTGACAAGTTTGAGGCTGGTCTTCTCGGTAAGAATGCCATTTT